GTTTTTTGAATTTCTTAAATTTTATTCTTAGCTTATTAATATTCAGTCTTCTCTTTAAATCTAAGTTATTAAGACATAATCCTTTATCCTTTGAGGAATTTATCATATTAGCGATGGGGTATGGATGTGTATATAAACATAATTCCAAGGTGGGCTGGGAAATTTAGCCCGTAGTTGGATTACCGTTACTCAGAGACAACTTTGTATTATGGAAGGGAGAGCAAAATTTGGGAATACAGCCACCTGTTTCTGCCACACTCACTGTTGCATCGGTTCTAAAGATAAATAAAACTTTATATTTTATGAAGAACATACTGAACTATACTTCAGTTAGATGAAGTTGTCAAATTTTTATTCAGGTAAGTGGTCTAGAAAGTGGAACGTTATATATTTAGATTATTCTACAGCTTTGAAATTATTTCCTGTACTACTGCTGTGATTAAGGAAGTAGTATAGGAAATAATTATACTCATTAAAATTTTTATGCTATTTTGTTCACAGAACAGCACAACAATAAAAACTGCCATTAAAAGCACTAACATTTTGATGATTCCTCCTCATGACAAGTAAACAAAGCAAACACATACATACGTACACAAGTACACACACACATCTTCCCTTACAGGATACTTTCATAACCTATATGTCTTTGGGAAACTGTTATAACTACATAAAATCATATTTTGGATCTCTGGGTTTTCAGTAGTTTCAGTAAATGTGATTTTAAAGGATTATATTGTGTTGACAAAATTAAATTCCTCTGAGTTGTGATTTTAGGCAAATTATTTAGTGTTTTTTTCATTTTAACTTTTTCTGTATATATAAAATGTTTTTGGTAATGTCTTCCTTAATCACAGCAGTAGTATAGGAAATAATTTCAAAGCTGCAGAATAATCTAAAATGCTGAGTGAATAATAGAATATTTATTTACAACTCTACCTAAATAAAAATTGATATATTAACTACTCAGTGTTGGGAACCTTAGGGTCATGGCAAAGTGTGACAATGTGACAAGCATTATTTATTGATTCAAAAATTAAAATTGCATTATTATAAGCCTAGTTAAAAAAATTAAGCATGAAGTGGTTCCTTTTTTAATGTCCAGTAACTGTTTAACATACATTGATAATTGAAAAGTGAATACTGGACTAAGGTTGTTTGGCATCAACTTCAGAGTTGTTGACAAAACTCTTATCAGTTTTTCAGTTATTCAAGTGCAATTAACCTATGCAGTAATCTACCTCAAATTATTATTCAAACAACCGTTTAGATAGGATATTAAGTTTGAATTTACTCAATTGCTATTTTTAAAATTTCTTGTAATTGTTTTAAAACTCCTGAAAACACTTAGGTCATTTCATATTTTTCTTTGAATGGTTTTATCCTTAACATTTAGAGAGAAACTTTTATTCAAAATGTAGAAATCATAATATTTAGACTATCATCTTATTTGAACAGCTGTGGAAAAAATTAAGATATCAAAACAAGTTAGGAAAATGAAGGTTATTGTTTAGCCATCACATACCATTCAACAAAATATTTTGTGTATAAAGCCTTTCCTATTTCAAAATATTCATATCAAAAATTTCTTTAAATTATTGGCTACTTGATTTTTTAAAACTCAGATAGTTTTATTATGTAATTATAAGCTAATAATCTGAGATTACCTTACATTTCTTGCGTTATTTATGTTAATTATATATCTGCGGAACACTTTGAAATTGCAGGTTTGATTTTTTTAAATTACAATTTGCACTCGGAAACAATCATTAAAATTTTTCAACATTTTACTATTAAAACATTGTTTTTTTTGCTTAGTTGGGTCAAAACTATTGAATATAGAGAACTTACTGTAAATGAATCTAGTTTAAGAAAACACATTCTAACAATTGTTTGTATTAAATGGAAGTATTTGTTTATATGATCCTTAGATGCTTTATACTTTATGATTACGTACTTCTTTTCATGCTGACATGTTGATAGGCAGCACTGTACTTTTGTGCACATATAGCTCCAGCTTCCTGTGTTTCAGTCTGAGTCATGGTAAAGTGGGAAATATGAGTTTGAAGATTAAGTACTGAGCTTAAAACACTTAATTTTTTCCCACTCTTGCATTGAAATAGTGGGAGCACAGGTAGTTGAGACCAAAGCAGGCCACTTGTTACTGTTGACTTAAGTACAACCAGTGGTCGAAGTGTTTAGCTCTTTGGGAAGTTTTGTGATTGAACAAGAACGCAGGAGTTATTTTGATAAGAGAAAGTAGCAATGGGGCCAAAACTATGGTCATCCTTAAGCTCTGAAGCAGGCCAAGGATGAAGGGCTATAAAGTGTTTGCTCTTCCAAATGAACAAAGATAAATTCACCTAGGAAAATAAACTTAGTATTTGGTCAATTTGCAACAAAATGGTCAAAGAATTGAACTGTTTATTTTAGAACTTGGCCTAAGGACGTATGGGAAAATAGTTCAGCGTCTCCATTTCTGGCCTGATTTTCACAACAGATTTGGAAACAGAGCAGAAAATTAATGCACAAACATGTTTAACAATACCAAACAAAATGTTGTAAATCCAAAATGAAAATTGAAACTGCGTGAGGAAGTAGAGCAAAGCTTTTACTGAGGAGTGCTTACTAATTTTGCAGCCAGTTTTCTTAGCAATTATACCAAGTAGTGTTAAAAATTGAAGTCTTGTTGATTTGAGAGGCTATTTTCTCTCAGTTCTCCATTCTTGGAATATGATGTTCTTCTGTCTGTTGGAGGGAGGATTTAATTTAAGCATACTTCTACTCTAAAAACCTATCCATCAAGAAAGGCTATATTATCTTGCCTTTTATTTAATAAGCATCCTTATCTGGAATTAGTTTGTGCTTTTTATTAGATGTTGTGTTACATTAGACAGCTAACCAAAAACGTGATTTTTTTATAGCTTCTCAAGTTGTAGGAATTTCTGTTGTAGCAGATTTAGAACTACTTATTTTGTAAAAGCATTTATATGAAAACCCCACAAACAGTGAGCTATTTGCTTTGTTTGATGTATTTGGGACAAAGAGTAACTATACTGTCTTCAGGTTTAACTCTATAATTTTCTCTAGTAGTAAATCCCAGAACACTGTTACTTTGCTATGCTTGGTGCCTAAGTGTTCTTGCAATAAACACAGCCTGTCATGCTCTGAAAATCTTCCCCATTTGGCCTCCTTCTGAGGTTGCAGGGAAATTGAATTTTCTTCTGACTGAAAGATGTTATAAAACAATGAAGTTAAAGTAAAAGCCTCATGTAGTAGCTGAATATACCTTGGTCTAGATGGCATGTCTGTGATAATGAGAGCCGGGGCTTTGGTTTGTTTTGTATAGGATTTTAATGATCATTCCTGCTTTTAAGTGTTTAGGGATTAGTAGCTTCTGCTCTGACAACCTGTCTATAGAAAATGGAATACTGATCATATTATATTGTCTTTGTTTAAATTTTAAGGGGTGTTTTGTTTTGACAGTTGACTACTGGTCATGACTCGTTAGCATAGGAAATTAACATTTTTGTTTGAGACATTCAAAGCAACAATAAACTATTGGAGGTTGAGGATATACAGCAAAAGAAAACGTGTCTGAAGTTAGAAAGATGAGAAAATGAGAAAGGCAATAGAGGGACCAAATTCTGTAAGAATGTGATTGAACAATTTCTTACATCAGTTCAACTTGATAATGATAATTATACCTATAATTTATGAAATATTTCTATGTGTATATACTTCATTCACGTTCATATTGCTATTTAATCTTAACTGTAAGAGATAAATATCATTATAATAACCATTTTACAGAGAAGTAAACAGACTCTGAAAAGTTAAACTACTTGCCTAAAATCACATGACTGGCATCTGAATTCCTTAACCCAGTACATCATACTGCCTGACAGACTAAGCTTAACTAAGTATCTATAACTGATATGTAAATACATATACATCTTTTAAACAAATAAGAATGTTATATTGTGTTTGATCAGTTTTCAGAGTATATGGGTTTAAACTTGCAAGTTTTGTTTGCAAGTTTTAAATGGACAGCAAAGTTTGGGATTTTAGGAACCCCATATTTATAGCTAATCCTGAAAGAACTCAACATGTCAATGATTGCAGCATCTCTTCCGCATTTGAGACTGAAGCTATTCAACTCCAGTTCAACTTTAAATAAAAGGGTTTATTTTATTCTGGCCTACTAAAAGCTGCTTAAAAGACCAAAAACAAACCAGCAAGCCTTTGACAGCAAGTTCGTTAGCACTGAATTTAGGACCTTATACATATTCAGAGTTCAGTATGTATTTGTTGAATCAGATAAGCTTATGCTGTATTCCGCTAAGAAACATTTAACCATATAAAACATTTTAAAAATTATATTGTCAAATCTACTAATTTTTAATGTCTCCTTAATTAACATGCAAGGCATGATTAATATTTTGCTGTTTCTTAAACTGATAATCACTTTTCTATAGTTATTCTAGGTTCCATTATAAATACTCTATAGAAGGGGTAGACAAATATTTTTCTGTAAAGGGCCAGTTAGTAAATACCTTTGACTTTGTAGATCATAGCTTCTCTATAGCAACTACTCAACTCTGCTGAAAAGAAATTATATGCAGTCAATACATGAATGGAGGTGGCTGTGATCTAGTAAAACTTTATTCCCCAATACAGACAGATTAGCCCCTTAACTGTAGCTTGCAGACTCTACTCTGTAGGAACATACTCAATGGTTTAATCTTAACCTTTTCTAGATCTTACCTACTTTTAGAGGAAGCTGGAAACATGCATGTGCTTTCTAACAAAAACCATTTGAGAATATATGTTTACATATAAGCATTATGTATTAGTATTAACGTTTATGTGATTATCATTTGCATATAAGATGTGAAAAAGTTACAAATAATAATTGCTGATTTTAATTTATAATTTGAATTTTTTATTTTTGTTTATGTTACAAAATACGTTTTTTTTTTTTTTTCTCCTCATCCCAGGGAGATTCTATACAAGCAGGTGAGGACTCACCATTCTCAGATTCTGTCACCTTGGAACAAACTACAAGTAATATTGGCGGAACCAGTGGACGTGTTAGTTTATGGATGCAGTGGGTGCTTCCCAAAGTTACTGTAAAGCTCTTTGCTCCAGATCCTGAAAATAAAGGCACAGGTACAGGATTGCTTTTCTTCTTCTTTTCCTTTTTTTTTTTGGAGACGGAGTTTTGCTCTTGTTGCCCAGGCTGAAGTTCAGTGGCATGACCTTGGCTCACTGCAACCTCTGCCTCCCGGGTTCAAGCGATTCTCCTGCCTCAACCTCCCGAGTAGCTGAGATTACAGGCATGTGCCACCATGCCAAGCTAATTTTGTATTTTCAGTAGAGACAGAGGTTTCTCCATGTTTGTCAGTCTGGTCTTGAACTCCTGAACTCAGGTGATCCGCCCACCTCGACCTCCCAAAATGCTGGGATTACAGGCGTGAGCCACTGTGCCCAACCTGGATTGCTTTTCTTCTTTACTGAAAAGTGCAAATATTAAAGGCTATTTTGGAAGACATATTAAACATAATTTATTGTCATTTATAATTAAATAAGTATTATTAAACCTAATTCAAGGAGTTTCTAGTTGCAGTGCTGAAATGTTGAATCTTATTAACATTAAAGGTTTATGTGTATATATTTTCCTTGACTTTGTAATACATAAATTTTGTCCTGTTTGTATTAAAATTCATCTAAAAGACCATAAGGAATTTTCCTCAGTGGTCATATTGATACATTATACTATTGTCACTAAAATTATTGGGAAAATCCTTGACTGGTATTAAATATAACACTCCCGACATTAACTGGGCTTTCCCCTTTCTTGAAATAAATGTCTTATCTTAATCGAAAGACCTGTGCTGATTTGCTTATTATTCTAGAAGCTTTTGTGATCTCAGTGCCTCTGTACATATCCAGCATGCATATGTCAACGTGAAATGTAAAATGGAAAGTTTTAATATTAATTGTGAAGACTGTATTGATATTACTGTTTGTTTCTTATTGCAGAGGTTTGTATGGTCTGTGAACTAGAAGATCTCAGTGCTTCCATAGATGTCCAGGATGTATATACCAAAGTGAAATGTAAAATAGAGAGTTTCAATATTGATCACTATAGAAGCAGGTAAATAATGAATAATGAATATAAGAAAATCTGTATTTTTCTTTGAACAAAGTTGCTATAAGAGTTTTTCTATTTTAATTTGGCTAGCTATTAAAATAAATATTATACAGGCATACCTTGGACATTTTAGGAGTTTGGTTCCAGACTACTCCAATAAAGTGAATATTTCAATAAAGCAAGTGACACAAATTGTTTGGTTTCTCAGTGTATATAAAGGTGTGTGTACACTACACTGTAGTCTGTGAAGTGTATAATAGCATTATGTATTTTAAAATGTACATACCTTAATTTAAAAATACTTTATTGCTAAAATGTGCTAATGATCATCTGAGCACTCAATGAGTCATCATCTTGTTGCTAATGGAGAGTCTTGTCTTGATGTTGATGGCTGCTGAATGATCGGGTGGTGGTTGCTGAAGGTTAGGGTAGCTGTGGCAATTTCTTAAAATAAGTCAATAATGTAGTTTGCCACATGGATTGAATCTTTCTTTATGAAGGATTTCTCTGTAGCATGCAATGCTGTTTAGTGGCATTTTACCCACAACAGAATTTCTTTCAAAATTAGAGTCAGTCCTCTCAAACTTTGCTGCTGCTGTAAAAAATGAGATTATGGAATATTCTGAATCGTTTGTTGTCATTTCAACAATGTTCCCAGCATCTTCCCCAGGAGTAGTTTCCATCTCCAGAAACCACTTTCTTTGCTTATTCATAAGAAGCAACTCCTCATCCATTCAAGTTTCATCATGAGATGGTAGCAATTCAGCCCCATCTTTAGACTCCACTCCTATTTCTAGTTCTCACATTGTTTTCACCACATCTACCATTACTTCCTCCAGTGAGGTCTTGAAACCCTCAAAGTCACCAATGAGGGCTGGAATCAACTTCTTAGAAACGTCTGTTAATGTTGATATTTTTACCTCCTCCCATGAATCACGAATGTTCTTAATGTTGTCGACAGTGGCGAATCTATTACAGAAGGTGTTTCAATTTAGTTTGCCTAGAACCTTCAGAAGCAACACTATCTGATACAGTTTGGATATATGTCCCTTCCAAATCTCATGTAGAAATGTGATCCCCAGTGTCAGAGCTTGGGTCTGGTGGGAGATATTTGGGTCATAGGGGAGGATCTCTCGTGTATGACTTGGTGCCTCCCCACGGTAACAAGTGAAGCTCTCGATTTCTTAGTTCATGCAAGAGCTGGTTGTTTAAAAAGAGCATAGTACCTCCCCGCTTTCTCTTGCTCACTCTCTTACCATGTGACACACCTGTCCTGCTTTGCCTTCTTCCATGAGTAAAAGCTTCCTGAGGCCTCACCAGAAGCCAAGTAGATGATAGTGCCATGCTTGTACAGCCTGCAAAACCACGAGCCAAATAAACCTCTTTCCTTTATAAATTACCCAGCCTCAGGAACTCCTTTATAGCAATGCAAAATGGACTAACACACTGTGGCCTTACAGAATGTATTTCTTAAGTAATAAGACTTGTAAGTCAGAATTACTACTTGATCCATGAGCTGAAGAATGGATGTTAGCAGGCATGAAGACAACATTCATCTCCTTGTGTATCTCCATTAGAACTTTTTGGTAACCAGGTGTATTGTCAATGAACAGTAATATTTTCAAAGGATTTTGTTTTCTAAACAAGCAGCCATTCTCAACAAAGGGCTTAAAATATTCAGGAGACCATGCTGTAAACAGATGTGCTATCATCCAAGCTTAGTTATTCCCGTGTGTAGAGCACAGGAGAAGAGTAGATTTAACATAATTCTTAAGGGCCCTAGGATTTTCAGAATGGTAAATGATCGTTATCTTCAACTTCACCGGCTGCATTCACCTCTAACAAGAGAGTCAGCCTGTCCTTTGAAGCTTTAAACCCAGGCATTGACTTCTCCTCTCTCTATCAGTCTTAGATGGCATCTTCTTCCAAGAGAAGACTGTTTTGTCTACATTGAAAATCTGTTAGTGTAGCCACCTTCATCAGTGAACTGAGCTACATCTTTTGTATAACTTGCTGCCACTTATCCATCAGCATTTGTTGCTTCATGTTGCACATTAATATTATAGAGATGGCTTTTTTCCTTAAGCCTCATGAACTAACTTCTGCTAGCTTCAAACTTAACTTCTGCAGCTTTCTTACCTCTCTCAATTTCTAGAATTGAAGAGAGTTAGGGTCTTGCTCTGGATTTAACAGAATGGTGTGGCTGGTTTGATCCTTTACCCAGACCACTCAGACTTTCTGCCTATCAGCAATAAGATTGTTTCACTTTCTTATGATTTGCGAGTTCTCTGGAGTAGCACTTTTAATTTTCTTCAAGAATCTTCCTTTGCATTCACAACTTGGCACAAGAAGCTTTGTTTTCTGCTTATCTCGGCTTTTGATATGCCTTCCTCACTAAGCTTAATCATTTTTAGATTTTTATTTAAAGTGAGAGATTTGCAACTCTTCTTTCACTGGAACACTTAAGAGGCCATTGTAGGGTTATTGATTGGCTTCATTTCAATATTGTTATGTTTCAAGGAATAGGCAGACCTGAGGTGAGGGAGAAAGATGGGAAATAGTAGGGTCGGTGGAGCAATCAGAAAACACGCAGCATTGATCAATTAAGTTTGCGTCTTATTTGGGCACTGTTCATGATGTCCTGAAATGATTATGATGATCACGTCAAAAATCACTGATCACAGGTCACCATATATCTGTATAATAATAATGAAAAAGTTTGAAATATTGTAAGAATTACCAATATGTGACGCAGAGACTGGAAGTCAGCATATATTGTTGGAAAAAATGGTGCTGATGGACTTACTCAATGTAAGGCTGCCGTAGACCTTCAATTTGGGTAAAATGTAATATCTGCACTATGCAATAAAGCAAAGCCCATAAAACCGAGGTATGCCTGTACTTATTCTCAAAGAGGGTTCTTAACAGATATATTGGTTAATTTTATTTCGTATTTGTTCATGTATGGAGTATAATAAAATTTTGTTTTATAAGATGACAAATCTGTTCATAAATATATACATTGCCATATTAAATGAAATAAGCTACTTTTACTAATAATCTTACATAATTTATTTTCTGTATTTTATATTTGCTTAGATGCCTGCAACATAGTTGATGGCTTTGATTTTTGCTGTATAATTCCCATTCATTCTCTATACCAGTATAATCATGCCCTGAGATGGAGCAATAGCTCATTTCCTAAGCACTTTGATGACTCTCATCTCACAGATGATTATTATGTATATGGTGGATGTTCCTAGAACCATTGTTTCTGGCATAATAAATTTCTATCAAAAGTATAATTACATGCAAATATGCATGGCTTGTAATAGTAACATTAGTAAAAAAGTTTTCAGATGTTTTCACAAAGCTCTGTACAGGTTTTATGATAAATTTTTCTGAAACAAAAATACAAATGCCTTTTTTTTTGGCTTTTTTTTTTTTTTTTTTTTTTTTTTTTTTTTTTGAGACGGAGTCTCACTCTGTTGCCTGGGCTGGAGTGCAGTGGCCGGATCTCAGCTCACTGTAAGCTCTGCCTCCTGGGTTTACACCATTCTCCTGCCTCAGCCTCCCGAGTAGCTGGGACTACAGGCGCCCGCCACCTCGCCCGGCTAGCTTTTTGTATTTTTTAGTAGAGACGGGGTTTCACCGTGTTAGCCAGGATGGTCTCGATCTCCTGACCTCGTGATCCGCCCGTCTCGGCCTCCCAAAGTGCTGGGATTACAGGCTTGAGCCACCGTGCCCGGCCTTTTTTTGGCTTTATAGTAGTACAATGATGCTTCTTTTTGTAATTGAGCTAAAATTCACATGCCATAAAAATTGTTTTGAAAAACAAGTGTTTTTCAGAAATATTTTAAATAGCATCATATTTTCAATTTTGTAGTTTTTGGCTTAGAAACAGCCTTAAAATCCATTTCTTTCATTTATTTATTTAACAATTTTTTATTGTGTGCCACCAGAAGCACCTTTATGTTTCTGTACATATATTGATGTATTACGTACTCTAAAAAATTATTTTTAATTTACCAAGTTCCTAGTTCTACATTAAAAGTGTTTGAATTTTTATCCATTATTGCATATATCATTATTGTCTGTCAATAATTATCAAATCTGTCACAATTATGGGATAAAAATATTTTGCTGGATATGTGTTAGGACTTCTTCTAATAGTATTAACTTACCAATCATATGATAATTATTTTTGTCATATTAAACAGTGAATTATTAATTGGCTTTTGATCATAGAATGTTCAACTCTTTAGTTCCTTTGAAATGGTATGTGTCTGTATAAAAATGATCTTTGCAAGTGATAGTACAATATTTTAGCTGAAATAATTTTTAATGTCATGAATATTATGTATTACGTTGTACTTTATCCCTGACATTACTGCTAAATTTTTATAAATTATAAATATTCAGATAATTTATTAATTTATTAAAAATATATGTTTGTTGTGTGTGTGGTATGCACCAAGTGCTATGCTAAATGAGTACTGGGGATGTAGTGTTTAAGAAAAATAGCCTGGCATGGTGGCTCACACCTGTGATCCCAGCACTTTGGGAGGCCAAGGCAGGGGGATTGCTTGAGCCCAGGAGTTTGAGACCAGCTGGGACAAGATGGCGAGACCCCATCACCATATACACACAAAAAGTAGCTGGGCATGGTGGTGTATGCCTGTAGTTCCAGCTGCTGGGGAGGCTAAGGTGGGTGGATTGCTTGAGCCCAGGAGTTCAAGGTTACAGTGAGCTATGATTGTGCCATTGCACTCCAGCCTGGGCAACAGAGCAAGGCCCCATCTTTAAAAAAGAAAAATAAACATAGATGTTACTCTTGTGGAGGAGATGGAAGTAAATAATCAGCCAAATAAATATATAATTTACCATGAAGACAAATGTTCTTATGCAGAACTATCAGAGTGTGGTGCTAATGTAAATTGTTCTATTGATTGCATTGTCAGATTTATGTTTTAGTTCAATGCAGTGTTGTGAATTTTAGATGTATTTGAAATAGTTATATATGTTCAATTTCTTAACTCAGAAAAATTGAAGAGAACAGATAAGGTGAACTTATGTTTTCCAGGCCAGGGGAAGGTTGGCAGTCAGGACATTTTGAAGGAGTATTTCTACAATGCAAAGAAAAATCTGTGGTGAGACCCATTTAGTTATTATGATTTTTGAAAATATACTTTAAACTGTTTATCTTTGTTATTTAATAAAATAGGACTAATGGTTACAAGAATTTGAGTTCAGAATAACTTCTTATTAACCTGTTTCTTCAAAATTACATATAAATTTAAAGCTATTTATTCTTTGAAGCTGCTCTTGTTTTGTAACCATCTTCCTGTTATAAAAATTAATTTATCAAAAAGGCAAAGGTAGGCTTGCTTTTGTTAATATACTTTATCTTTAGTGTACTATTATGTTGACTTTTTGGAATTGTTTCCCAATTCTTATGTGAGTTCATGCTGGATTGTTCTTTACCATAAACTAGAAGTTGTAATTTTATACTAAAAGCAATTATTTTTTGTTTACTTTCATTAACATTGCTTTTGCAGAAGATGGTCCAGGCAGAGGCCATACCTAGCAGTTGCTCAAATCGAAATTTATGCAAACTTGAGGAGAATTTAAAACTATCCAGATTTTTTTTTTGCTTATGGCTTTTATTGCTTTTTGTCTTTTCACCTTCTTTGCTCCTGTCCATCACCTCAAGCCTTGGGGAAGAGTGTTGGTCTTTGGGGCAATGTGGAGGTGTCTTCCTTTCCTGTACTGACAAGCTGAACAGACGCACCTTGTTGGTTCGACCCATCAGCAAGCAGGACCCTTTCAGTAATTGCTCTGGCTTCTTTCCTTCTGTAAGAAATTACTTTTAAATTATGCTACACGACTCCCATTAACAGGAACCAGAGAAGGAATGGAATGATTCATAGAGTCAACTCTTGATTTGTGTTTTCCTCTATATCATAAACTTTATAAATGAAGTATAATGTAATTTAAAATCGTAGAACTGCTTTTCCACTATAACCTGTTTCTGGGTCACTTGCATGAGTACAGACTAATTTTATCATCAATATAAGGAAATCAAAGTAGTACATTCAATATATTTTTTAAAATTGTGCATGTATTGAATGATCAAGAGTTGACCAATACTGCTTTTGTCATTCCTCTAATGATTCTTAATAAGATTGCTTTTTAAATTTTTTTTCTATTATTATGCCATTGTTTTCTTACAACTAATTCAAAGTAACTTGTGTGGGACCTTCTTGAATCTGAACAAGATTGCATTTCTGTCATTGACTAGGTAGATGAACACAAGGCTATATCAGTGACTTTTAGAAGTTTAGAACCTTGCCTTTTCTAATGGTACAACATATCTAGATATGTTCTTAAGCTAATTCTTTTAACTGATATTCTTAAAGTTAACTTTGTTCTTAAATTTAATGTTTAATAGTATATTTGCATAGCAAGTGATATGTTCTGATTTTATTTTGAGCTTTTACTAGCAATAGTCTCTAATCATTAGTGCAGGGAAAAAAATGTGGCTTTTGTGTTAGAGGAAGTGTTTAGATTTATTTTCCTCTCTTTGAATGTTCATTAGAGTCTATGAAAAACATTCTTAATAATTTTAACAAATATTCATAAAGAAACCCTAAATTTATCATTAATGTTCTTCAGAAATTCTTTCTAAATGTATAAATTAAATGCCATTTAAAAAGTTTCTTAGTGTTTTTTGACATTTGAATAGTATAAAGTATTATTACTGTATGAAAAGTTATACTTATATTACCTCAACTAATGTTCATTTTTTCCCTTATTGTAAGGGAGTTAGGAATGCAGCAGTTAAAAAAAAACAGCACCCTTTCTTCATGTAGCTTACCTTTCAAATATGCTTACATTCCACATGTTTAAAATATTTTTCCCAATTAAAACATTTATACATTGAAATACCTTTTATACTCTTTCCAGGATTCAAATATTGCTATTAATAAAGATTTATTATGAATTAGATTTTTTAGATTAGTGGTCAGTACTAACCCTCTCCCCAGTTTAGACACTTAGAACAAACAACATCACTGTGATCACTGTGGCCTCTTCCACTGGGGATATACCTTAACAATTCGTCTCCATCCATTATTGCTCATTGTCCAGCAACATGGTAATAAAACTGGTAGCACTTTTCCTGCTTTACTATGCATCTTTTTGTTTTGAGTGCAGAAATAAAAAAGAAGGGGAGTCAGGAGAATTAGTGAAAATGTTGGGAACAGTGAAAAATGCTTTGAGAGCAGGCTATTATGGGGAAAGATGATTATATTGCACAACTATTTAATGCTTACTTTCCGGGGTTTTTTTAATGGCCAATTAAAAAAAATACGAAGATAATTTATTTTCTTATCTTCCTTCATTATAAAGTCTAAATTAAAAGCAAAATCAACAGTGGTAACTGAATTGCATATTTTTTCCTCTCACCACGTCAGTGGGTGATAGGCAACAAAATAAGAGGAAGAAAATGGAAGCAAAAGAAATTTAGCAGTGATGGGATAATATAGGCTCAGACTCATTACAGCTTTCCTATTTCTCTTTTTTTTTCTGTTTATGTGAATATATTTTCTTCTTTTTGCTTTGTTCCAGTTCACTTCTCCTCTTAAAAATCCCCTCTTTGGACCCTACTAACTTTTTCAGGTTTTGGAAAGAGGGGCAGGGAATGTGGAATATAACAGTTCTCCTCTAATTCTGTGCTGAGTAATTTCCAAAACAATATTTCATGTCTGTTAATTGGTTGAGGAAGATTTTTTTCAAGTGATATTCTTTTGTATGTTGAGGAATACGAAAGTATACGTTTTACTTTACTTCTTTAAAAGCATACTGTTTTACTATAACTTGTTTATAGTATGCAATTTGAATAGGAGAGCTAATTGAGATAGTTTAGCAAAAATATTGAAGTTATGATAATTATTTTACTCTCAGTTAAATGTTATATGTGTACTAATATAGTAGTATATGCAAAGATTATGAGTTACAGCATAGTGATAATTAGATTTTATAAACAATATGTTAGCTATTGATAATAGGCAAGTTCTGAAAGACAAATGTTATATTGTTGCGTCACATTACTGTTTAAATATGCAGTAACTGTTTAGTTCAGTTATCAAAGCATGGTATCAATGAGGCTTCTTTTATAGGCTCTGTCTTTGTATAAATGAGCCAAATTATTGAAGGAAAAACTCCATTTCCACAACTGTTATATCCTATCTAGTGAAGGTAATCATCTGGCCTGTTTAGATTTGGTCTCAAATAAAAATATATAATGTGGTTATTTCAATTTCACCTGAGTAAATAACCTTTCTGTGACCTGTGATACTTTTTATTACAGCCTCTTAGTACTCATAATGAAAAATTTTCATGAATTGAAAAGATAAAATCAAGATAGTCTTTTCCAACCTAGTTTTTTTGTTTGAGACAGAGTGTCACTTTGTTGCCCAGGCTAGAGTGCAGTGGCTCAATCTCGGCTCACTGCAGCCTCTGCCTCCCGGGTTGAAGCGATTCTTGTGCCTCAGCCTCCCGAGAAACTGGGATTACAGGCATGTACTACCACACCACCACATCTGGCTAATTTTTTGTATTTTTAGTAGAGACGGGATTTCACCATGTTGGCCAGGCTGGTCTCGAACTCCTGGCCTCAAGTTATCTGCCCACCTTAGCCTCCCAAAGTGTTGGGATTACAGACATGAGCTACTACACCCCAGCCCCAAATTCTTAATGTTACAGAAAATGCAGAAGTCACAGAAATAGCCACAAAAAGATTAATTACCTTCCTCAAGATCTAGAACTGGAACTCAGGATTCCAATCTTTAGTTCAGTCATTCAAACCATCTTAGAAGTTTTTTGTCCCCATCTGCAGAATTGATCAGTCATGTGTTTATTAAGAAGTGTAGGGTAAGACCAACAGGTAAAAATACTCACTGAGATCATTTTCTTCTTTCCAATTTTTTAAAAAATGTTTTTAATGAACTGTGTATTTTGATTTCCTTTTTCTGGAACAGACAACTACAAAACTTCTAGATGGCACTCATCAGCAGCATGGATTCCTCTCTCTGACATACACAAAAGCTGTAACAAAAAATGTCCGTCACAAGTTAACATCAAGAAATGAGCGAAGAAGTTTTCATAAGTTATCTGAAGGCTTAATGGATGGTTCTCCTCATTTTCTTCATGAAATTCTTCTTTCAGCACAAGCTTTTGATATTGTTCTTTATTTTCCTTTACTTAATGCCATTGCAAGTATATTTCAAGCAAAACTACCAAAGACCCAAAAAGAGAAAACAAAATCTCCTGGTCAGCCCATGAGGACCCATACACTGACATCCCGCAATTTACCTTTGATTTATATCAACACAAGTGTAATCAGAATTTTTATTCCAAAAACAGAAGAAATGCAGCCAACTGTTGAAGGTATTGTCTTCTGATTTTTTTTTTTTTTTGGTCTGATTTTAAATAATTTTCTTCTAGACACCTTAGTTTTCTGGGGTTTTTTGTTTCTTTTAAAAAATGTGAGCAGTTGGTTGTGCTTTGCGGTTTGGTATATTTTATAGAGAAGAAATATAGATATTCTATAAATCATTAGGAAATACATCAGAATACTATGTAAGTATCTGACTTTGTTAGTAGGATAAGAAATATGAGGATTTTTTTTCTTCAAGGCTTTTGCCAGTAAAACATATATATACTTTGTGTCATTTGTTTTACTGAACTCAAATGTTGGGTTCTATATATCTAATAGAACTAAAATTTTGTTTAAAAACAAGGTCAGGCACAGTGGCTCATGCCTGTAATCCTAACACTTTGAGAAGCCAAGGTAGGAGGATCACTGGAGCCCAGGAGTTTCCGACCAGCCTGAGCAACGTAGTGAGACCCCATATGTACAAAAATAAGATACTAGCCCAATATGGTGGTGCACACCTGTAGCCCCAGCTACTTGGCATATCATTTTTGTAATAAAATATTTGTAGAACCTTATAGTCCTTAATTACCAAGGTGTCTAGAACTAAATTCAATGTATTATACTCACAGATTCTTAATACAAGCCAGTTTCTACTTTTTATGTCTAATTTTTCTTAGAAGCGATCTTCAAATTGATTACTTTGAGGTGTGAAATTACTATTCTCTGAATATCCTATATTCTGACAGTAGTATACAATTGTTTTCATCTGTTCAGATAGTTTGTAGAAACACATGGATGGTTATGAATAAGAGTTAGTCTTTATCGACCAATTACAAGTGATAAACAACTCGCTAAGCAGAAAAGTAAGAAGCTGTATATTCATTGCAAAGGTAATGACGTTTATGCTTTTTCCTTGTTATATAGGAGCACCTAATGAAATTGTAGATAGTGTAATTTACATTAAGGTTGCATAGGTTAGAAAACAGAAATCTACATTTTTACACAGGTAATTCCCTGAGGATCATAGTTTCAGTTATAATAACATTTGTTCTCAACCTTGGAAGAGACACAGACACAAAAGATCGGGGAGATTATCAAACTGTTTTTGGCATTACAACTGAGAATGGGAGGAAAACACCATGAAAACAGTAGATTGTCTTTATTACACCAAATTTATAAGTGATTTGGGAGAAGAATTTGGGGTAGTTCATTACATTTAATAAAGACCATGGGCCGGGTGCAGTGGCTCATGCCTGTAATCACAACACTTTGGAAGGCCAAGGCGGGCAGATCACGAGGTCAGGAGTTCGAGACCAGCCTGGCCAACATGGTGAAACCCCGTCTCTACTAAAAATACAAAATATTAGCCAGGCGTGGTGGCACGCACCTGTAATCCCAGCTACTTGGGAGGCTGAGGTGGCATAATTGCTTGAACCCAGGAGGTAGAGGTTGCAGTGAGCCGAGATACTGCCACTGCACTCTAGCCTGGGTGACAGAGCAAGACTCCATCTCGAGGGAAAAAAAAAAAAAACAAAAACCATAATGTTACAGTATCTATTTTATTAAAATAAAATTACAGAAGTTTTATCTCTAGATAAAAATAAGAAAGTTTTATACTATATAATATAAAAAATTCTAAGTATAGTTTTTATACAAGGATATTGTTTTCCACAAATACCTCTCTGATTGGTATAAAATATTGATTTTTCTAACTTGTGAGTTCCTGTATTTCATTTAAAATATGTTAGTAGGCTTTTATGATTTTCTGAATATTTCTTGAAGTGTTTGTTTTATGTTCCCCATTCCTTAATTGTAAAATTATTTTCAGTTTAATGTAAACATTTGGGAAAGCCAAAATTTCATTGAAACGTAAGAAATAATATGGTGTTAGAGGTGAGAGGTTGGTATGAGGTATACAAAAATACAGGGAGAATCTCTGTGAAAAAAGCTGAGGAAATAGTGAGAGGCCATAGAGACAGAAAAGGAAGTAAAGCAACTTACCTGATGGGTAGACATTTTTAGTAATAAAGAAATGTTCATGATTTATAAATGATTCTCAAATTTTATGATGTAATGGTATCTGAATAATAATTGTATAATGGACACTACATTTAGTCATTTATCCCATATTATTCCCTACACTGTTTTAATTTAGGGTTTCCTTCTTGAAAACCCATTTTACACCATAAAATATCAATTTCAGTAACAAGTTTAAATTTTTAAAAACAAACCAAATGTGTATGATTCAGTGCCTACTTATTACGTTTTAAAACTTGACCAAGAATATGATACAATATCAGTGTGCTGTTTTTCTGCATCTTTGACCAGCCGGGCTGAGACTTTTAAAATGGGTATTTAATAATGTATATACTGGTAAATCTTTCTGAATCAGACATAGCGGCTCCTCAATGTGGGCATTTGATCTATATTCAAAATTTTCTCATTTGTCTTATAATATCTTATCTATCTCATGTCCTGAAAGCATCTGAAAGTCTTTGGTATTTGTTAGTGAGGAAATATTTTTACAGTAAATTGTTCTTTCATTGCAATTAGATCTTCATTGCAGAGCTCCTTTGACTCAAATTTTTGTGGCAATATCCGTGAGAGAAACCTCCATGACTGACATATTTTCACCATCCATGTCAGTGTTCGTCATAGCCTTTAGGTGGTCTTCACTAGAGGGGTCTTATTTATAGTGATAAATATTTCCTCCTAAGGCAAAATTTGCCTATAAATGTAAATAGTTTTCATTGTTAATTTGGAAACCTTTTTTTTTCTCTCTTTTTTATTGTGGTAAAATATATATAACAAATTTTCTACTTTAATCATTTTAAGTATATAATTCAGTGGCAATAATTACACTCACAATGTTGTGAAACCATCACCACTATTTCCAAATGTATTTGTCACCCCAAACAAAAGCTCTGTATCCATTAAGTAATAGCTACCCTCATCCTCTGGTAACCTCTAATCTATTTTCTGTCTCTATAAATTTTCCTACTCTAGAAATTTCATGTAAGTGGAATTATACAATGTTTATCCTTTTGTGTCTGGCTCACTTTACTTAGCATAATGTTTTCAAGGCTCATCCAAGTTGCTGCACATATCAGAACTTCATTCCTTGCTATAACTGAATAATATTGTTTGGATATACCACATTTTGTTTATTAATTAATCTATTGGGCAGTTGGGTCATTTCCACCCTTTTTTTGGTTAATGTGAGTATTAATGTGAGTAATACTGCTATGAACACTGGCATGGAAGTTTCTGTTGGAGGCCCTGTTTTCACTTCTTTTGGGGTGTACACCTAAGAGTGGAATTTTTAGGTCCCATGGTAATTCTGTTTGGAATTCTGTTTTTGAGGAACCACCAAACTTCTTGAAAGCCCTTGTGGATTAGAGTACAATTTGTGGTATTTTCCGAACAATGCCAATATGCAGGCATAGTTTAGTCAACAAGAAGAGCAAATGGAGCTCATGCTTAGCATAGCAGCAGCTGTGTGCTGAGCACCTGAGCAGCTCTGTGGTGAGGCAGAAGTCTGAAGTTCATTGTTTAACTCTAGCTTTATTTTCTGTTACACTTACCAAAGGTTTAATGAAACAGGTTCTGTTTCACTGATATATTTGTGACAAAAAGATTACAATTCATTCTATTTAAGAAAGGTGAGGGAAAAAAAGAACAACTTTATTTTCTGTGGGGCTTTTTTTGTTTATATGTTTTTGTTTTGGGCTTATTGTGTTATAAACATTAATACTACATATCACACAGTTTTGTTGTTTCCTATTGAGTTGCTTCAACTGGGAAAATCCTTCAACTAATTTTAATTGCAGAAATATTTCCAGACTTCTGCCATCTTATTTTTAAAGCTGCTACTGCTGCTGCTTCCGCTTCCGCTTCTTCTTCTTCTGCTGCTGCTGCTGCTGCTGCTGCTTTTTCTTTTTTTGGTGGTGGCTATGGTGGGGTTTTAACATATAATTTCAGAATTCATGTGCCTAGGTACTTCCTAAGGTCACTTTGAATAAGAGTATATGAGATGGGGGAAGGTTGTTATAGTTGTCTTTGGAAAACATAATTTCTTTTGTCTTTCTGTGGACTTTCAGGTTAAGTGTAATCCTTTGCAGATATGCATATTTTTAGCAACAAACAACTTTTTAGTGGTATTTTTTTGTGTGGCCTGGATGTATGTATCTGTAGAATAAATTACCAGCAAAAGGATTGCTAGATCAAAGGATTCCATACCTTACTATTTTAAGAGATGTCAAATTACCTTCCTAAATGGCTGCTATTTCTTACTCTTACCCTAGCAAAGGTTATTTTTAGCCTTTTGTAGGTCTCATTAGTGAAAAGTACAGTGTTTTTTAAGGAGTTGCATATCTTTTCCTTATTAATACTTTTTTGTGTATTAATCCTTTTGTCTGGCATATGCATTGCTCATATCTTTACTTTTTTGTGTTCTGCCTTTGCGTCTCTATATCTGTGCATATATCTGTATCTTTATTTATAATTGTACCTGCTTCTCTATGTATCTGAGGTGTTATAAATAGCCAGACTGTGTGCCTAAGCTAAGAATACAAATACAAAATGCATGCCAAAGTTTCAGATTTTGACACATTATATTAGTTTTTTTTAATACTTTATCTTTCTTCTTTGCTACTCTTAATTTAAATAATCGTAATTTACCCATGAAAAGGTCAGAGAAAAAAATTTTCATTGTGGTAAAATTCATATAACAAATTCACCATTTTAAAGTATAGATAATTCTTACATTATGTTTTATATGGGAGATTGGATGTGTCCATTTAATACATGTTAAAAGCTGTAATGCGGACTGTGGAAATCATGATTGAATGAGGAATTTCATTAGAAATAAATATCATCAATGACTCTAGTAAGTTGGAGTCAAGAGTATACTATTCATTTTATTCTAGAAAACCTTTACAAGAAAGTTTGAATAAGATGATTATCAGATTAATTAAATTAAAAATGTAGGCCAGGCATGGTGGCTTATGCCTGTAATACCAGCACTTTGGAAGGCCAAAGCAGGCATATAGCTTGAGCCCAGGAGTTTGAGACTAGCCTGGGCTACATGGCGAAACTCTATCCTACAAAAAATATAAAAATTACCTGGGCATAGTGGCCTGTGCCTGTAGTCCCAGCTACTCAGGAGGCTGAGGTGGAAGAAGAAATTGAGTCCAGGAGGTCAAGGTTTCAGTGAGTTGTGATCACACCACCAAACTCCAGCCTGGGTGACAGGAGGAGACCGTGTCTCAAAAAAAAAAAAAGTATATGTAAGTTGTTTTGATGAGTGTGAAAGAATAACTAAATCTTGCTACAGCATTCTTTTCAGCAGAAACTTTATTATAAAAATATCACAGAGCAGTCGTGCCTGTCACTGAATAAGTAATCTGTGTCAAAGATGAGTGGTAAACTAAATACAACTAACCTTTCTATTAATATGCATAGTGGTCATTGGTTACATATTTATTGAAACTTTTGTCTTCAACTGCCAGTATGGCAATAACTAATTAAAAACTTTTATTGAAAGCTGTCACAACAGTTTTGGCTGTATAAAAGCATAATATTACACAGTGGCAATTTCAAATACTTTTGAGACTTCAAATGTTTTACTAAATTGAGTTTATATTGAGAATCTGAAATGAAAGTTGAAGTATCCAAAACACTTTTATTCAGGTTGGAATTAAGAAAAGTTCGTTGTAAGCAACATTCTTATGTTATCTGACAATTGCATGAAGATTCTGGTCTTTATTCAAGCTTTTGGTTACTGATACAAACTCCTGATTTCAGAGTTGTTTATAGCCTTTCCATATGCCACATACAGATGTACATTCATACATCTGTACATACACATGTATACACTCTCTTGCCCCGAGAAAAGATGAAATCTTTCAGACTTATAATATATGCTACATTAATGTAAGACTCTTTAATCATGTCTACATTTCAGTTTATGATAAAAAATATATTTAACATTCCAATATTTTATTTAGAAAAATAATAGTGAAAATCGGCTTTTAAACCTGGATATTGTTTACGTTATGTGCAGTTACTATCAGGATTCTAAATCTACAGGTGTTTGACTTCCAGCTTAATCTTTTTATTTCACAATAGAGAACTTCTTAAAATCTAGCATGTCCAGAATGAGTAGCTCCTCATGAGGCTCAATTTTTAAAAATAGAGTTAAAGCAAGGAAGGAAGGCATTAATTTTCATGTTGAAAATATTTCTAGAAGGAACGTTTCCTCATATGGTCCAACTATTAAATACAGGTGAAATAAGCCAAAAAAGAGAAGCTGATTTTTTTGCGGCAATAAAGTAGCTGAAGAAATGACTCAAGGCACTTTCATGTATAAATACATTTTTTTGTTTTTTCTTACATCTCAATGATATATTTTGATAAGCTGAATAATTTCTATAATCAAATTATTTATTTTAATCTAGTTTATGAATGATCTGCATTACGTGTTCATTTTTTTATTATAACAGTCAGTATAATCTAATGAGAACACTTTTGGCCCTAACAGAAACAGAATTCTGTTCTTGGATCTGGCTTTGTATGTAACACCAAGTACGTCATTTCTCCTCCATATGTACCTCATTTACTGCAATGTTTCTGTTACATTTCAGACTTTCATATGGTGGGTAGTATCTGTAGCCTGGAAGAACGGTTAGCAAATACACTAATTGCACTTTTGTGGTATGGTCTATTCTCCAGGCTTACTATTTATTGATTTAATTGATGCCTGCTGCTTAATCAGAGGTTTTACCCACATGGAACTATTTGATAAGCTTGGCATAAAATGCAAGATCTGTAAAATGTAAACAATGTTCATATTATAAGGACCTATAATCAAACCAACCCTCTAAGTTATTTGAAAATAGTGCAGCTGCATGAGAAGTAGTTTTCTATTTGATCTTTTGCTATGGAATTGTAAAAATACTGTCTTTACTGTGACATCCACATGCTAATATTTGTTTTGATAGATCATCTCTTTTTCTTTCTCCTTTTGCTGTCACTTCTCCCACCTTCCTACTATTTTGCCTTACCCTGCTCCCTTCATGGTTATCTTATTCTGGGTCCTTATTTCTCTCACTGAGTATCTTATTCTTCTAACTTTTTTCTGATTTTCTTAATTCTGACTGTCTTTCCTTGGACTAATCTGAATCAGACCATACCAAGTATACTGAAATAATATACTGAAAATATACTGAAATATACTGAATATACTGAAAATAATACACTGAAATAATATACTGGAAATACAGCTGGAAATAATCTTGTAGCTTTTGCATTCTTTGGGCACCACAGTTTGGGAAATATGGATTGTATGCCTTTATAGGCAGGTTCTGTTCAGGATATTTCTTAGGTCTTGCAGCCAGTCATTTTCTGTTCTATTTTTGGCAGATGGTAGTTCCTTGAGAGAAATTATAAGTTTTAATATACGTTTACTTCAAGACCTAGAAAGTTGTATATTGTTAGCACTTTTTAAACAGTGTTTATACAGCTACTATAGTAGAATCATCTGTTGGAGAATAGAGAGTAAAATGTAAATGTAATGAATGGGGCCATTAATTTCTCCTATTCATCCCAAATAGTCCTTAGAAAAGACATTGAATTTACTGGTGAGTTGTGGAAAAGGTGCTGAACTTCAGCCCTAAATCAGAGCGTATAGTCAAATATCATTTTATTTAATACAAAGAAAAGAATTAGAACAGATACATCCTTTTACCTTTTTTTGTTTTCTGGGAATATTTATCATAGTTTTAGATGTCATTAGGAGGTAGAACTTTTAAAGGGGTCTGGGATTCCAATTTCTAAAGCAATTTTACAGTAGAAGTTATTAAAATTAAAAAGTTATCTGGAATAACAGGTTGATACGTTCTTCCATATTAAATAGTTGGTGTTTTCCATCTTCAATGTGGCAGTCATCATGTTTCTTTTGGATTTTCTGACATTTTGGAGCTTAAAGTGATATACTTTATGTTTGTGTGTGTGTGTTGTATTTAACTTATTTAGCATGTAAATTTAAATGGCTTTGAGAATTTGTCACTGACTTTGTAATATCCTTCAATATATTTGTAGACAACAATGAAGTATTAAGAACCCAAAGCTGAAAATCATTTAGGAGAAAGACACAGATTGTGAAGTTAGATAAACATTTGTCTTCAATATTACTTATATATATTTAATATTATAATTTTTAAGTTGGGAGTGGAGTTGTTTGTTTTTTCTTTGCTATTTTAATTGTGTATTTTAACAGGAAACCACTTAATGGGTATGAACAGAGTTAAAAGAATCAAATATTTTTATTTTAAACATGATTTTTTTCATTTTACTTTTTCTTATGTATTGCTCTTATCTTAAAGTGTCTGTATTCCATTCCCTCAAAGATTTCTCCTTATGCATAAAGTTATGTACAGATCCACAGTGTATTCATGAATCTCCTTCTTTTGTTACAGTTAATCAGGCAGCAAAAGAAGACACCGTGGTTTTGAAGATTGGCTCTGTTGCCATGGCTCCCCAGGCTGACAATCCCCTTGGCAGATCTGTCCTTAGGAAAGATATTTACCAGTAAGTTTATTTTCTTATGTCCAATCTTGCAACAATTTTCATCCTGCAAAGACGTACAGTGATCAATAACTTACTTACTGTGGCCTGTAGAAATATTTCTCATTCAGGATCTTTTGATATTTAAAACCAGGTTTTTCTGATTTTCTTCAGTTGTGGGTTTTTTAATTCATTCAGACAAATCAAGTATTTCTGTGAAGTGTTGATGAATAACAGAATGCAAGTACTAAGTCACCGTAAAACTGAAGAAACATAGTTTGGAAAATTTTAGCAGATGTCAAATTTGACCAAATCTCTAATCACATAAGAAAACGAGGTCCTCTGTAGAACCCCCACATCCTACTGTAGTCATGTTGTATCAAAGTGAAACATTTTATTAATTTAAGTGAAAGCTATTATTTGAAATGTAGGAATGTGGATGTCATATGGATCAAAGCTGTAAAGAAAAGCAAACTTCTAAAGAGAAATTTCACAGTAAACACTTTCTGTGAAAATGCTATGCTCTGGATTTTGTCACTGAGTATTTGCAAACCACACCAAGCATATATGGACAACTAAACTGGTGAACATATGTAATCAACATGATAAAAATAATATATGATTCATACTGAAGTTGGCACTGCTGCCAGACAGAAAAGTACAGTTGCAAATAATACCAAGTGAGAAAAGTCACAGAAATACAGATGAACAAGTGTCTTATTCTTCTTGCTGGTCTGTTTTTCAGATGTTGTTGTCTCTTCTAAAAAATAAATTCCTACTGCTCTCCAGTAAATGTTACTGCTAAGAAAAGATTCTAATTTGGTGATACATTTACCCTTTAGAGGGTGATGGCTATTTTTTATTTAAATAGATCTAGGAACTTCATTTCTCAGATTTCTCTGATATTTGAGTTATAATTTTTTCCTTTGACTTATGTATGTATGATCTCTTCCTTGTATTAATTTTTTGGGTATTTAATAGTATTCATCCCTTAAATAAGTTTTCATGTAGCTAACTTATATATAATCTTAGGATTCCAGAGCTGAAAGGGGCTTTAGGAATTATCTAACTCAACTTCCCTATTTTACAGATTAGGAAACTGAATAACCAAAAGAATACTGTAGTTGTCCCTGGTGAAACAGTAATAGAGCCAAGGTTACAATTCCTATCTTTCGACTCCCTTAGGATCTAGGGAAATGATTTAATAGAATATAAATTATAGATGAGAATACTTTAATTTTCTAACATTTGGAAATTCTTCCAGATGTCTTTATCTTTTCTACTTCAGAAGTAAGTGGTCCTAAAATAGAGACCTACTTTACTTTTGGTGAAAGAAATCTAGGTTATATGAAGAGATCCTATCACCATCAGTAAAGTGAACCGCTGGGATAATTCCTTTCCTCCTGTACCCTTTCCACTTTCTGGCTTTTGCATGAGTTGTATTTTTACTTGCTGGGAACAGTTGTGTCAAATTGTTTTTTTAGGGTTTCCTTCTATGTGCCTTGCGGCTTCTTTTCAGTCATCTTTACTGGTCTTCCTCTTAAACAATCTCTTTGATATTAGTATTTCTTAGGGTCTTCCTTTTATTCTTTTTTTTTGCCCAACTCTTCTTGGGTGAGGCTGTCTGCTCCTTTGGCTCAGGACAACTTGAATTCCAAGCGTGTTGGGTAACTTGGGTTGCCTCTGTAGACCAAGGTTAGCAATATGTGTTAGAATGTCAAACGCAAAATTCTAGATGCTGGATGGCAAACTCAACCTAATAATTTTTCTTTGAAAGCTCACATTCAAGTCATTTCTAAATAAACAAACTAACAAAAGGTGTTCACATAAGAGTTTATCAAAAATGTTTCAAGATCTCAGTGAAATGCTGTATCATCAATATCAAAGGAGTAACAGCAGAATTAGAAACCACTTTTGAGTGAGGTAATCAGAGTGGAAGTAGCTCAGTTAGAATAAAAGTGAATACACAAAGCAAAAGACCCTGCATACTAGGGCTGATTTTATTATTCCTATGATTTTGTTAACCATAAAATCTCAGTGAACTAGATGCAAAAGTCCACATATTATATGATTCCATTTATATGAAATGTCCAGAATAGACAAACTCAGAGAGACAGAAAGGTTGCCAGGGCCTGCTTGTGAAAGGGGAGGGAAGAATGGGAAAGGACTTTGTCTTGTGGCTTGGGTGCCAGCTCATCCTCAGTAGAACAGAGCACCGAGTAGGTTCCTAAGGTTTCTGACTCCAGGCCCTGGTTCCTGGACAGCATCTCTTGATGCACTTGGGAGCAGGGGAACTCACCACTCTGAAGGGAAGGACTCAAGCCTGGTTAATTGCAGAGCCCTAGGGCCTTGAATGAACACAGGCCATAGCCAGGCAGTGGTTACCACGGGTGTTGGGTGAGACCCAGTGCTGTGCTGGCTTCAAGTCTGACCCAGCGCAGTCCCAGTGGTGGTGGCAGCCACAGTGCTTGTGTCACGCACACACACACATCCCTTCCACAGCTCCAGGCAGCTCAGCACAGAGAGGCTGTGTTTGGGAGAAAGTAAGGGAAGAAAGCAAGAGTCTTTGCCTGATAATTCAGAGAATTCTCTGGATCTTATCCAAGACTACCAAGGTGGCACCTCTACCAGTCTGCAAGAGCCACAGTGTTACTGGGCTTGGGTTACTCCCTAATGCAGGTATGGCTGCAATGACCAAAAACTTAGATCACAACACCCAAGCTTCTTCAAATAACTGGAATTCTTTCCCTAGAAATATGGGTACAAACAAGCCCAGACCACAAAGACTACAGTAAATACTTAACTCTTAAATGCCCAGACACCGATAAACATTTGTAAGCATCAAAACCATTGAGGAATATATGAGCTCACCAAACAAACTAAATAAGGTACCAGGGACCAATCCTGGATAGACAGAGATATGTGACCTTTCAGACAGAGAATTCAAAATAGCCATTTTGAGGAAATTGAAAGAAATTCAAAATAATAGAGAAGGAATTCAGAATTATATCAGATAAATTTAACAAAGAGATTGAAATCATTTAAAAGAATCAAGTAGAAATTCAGGAGTTGAAAAATACAATTAACATACAAATGCATCAGAATCTCTTAACAGCAAAATTGATCAAGCAGAAGAATTAGTAAGCTTGAAGACAGGCTGTTTGAAAATATACAGAGGAGACCAAAAAAAAAGAATGAAGTACACCTACAAGGTCTATAAAATAGCCTCAAAAGGGCATAGCTAAGAGTTATTGGCCTTAAAGACAGGTAGAGAGAGTGATAGGAGTAGAAAGTTCATTCAAAGGGTTATAATAGCAAAGAACTTCTTAAACCTAGAGAAAAGTATCAATTCAAGTAAAGGTTGTAGAATACAAAGCAGATATAACCCAAGGAAGACTACCTCAAGGCATTTAATCATCAAACTCCCAAAGGTCAAGGATAAAAAAGAATCCTAAAAGAAGCAAGCAAAAGAACCAAATAACATACAATGGAGTCAGGTATAGTGGCTTGTGCCTGGGATCCCAACCCTTTGGAAAGCTTTAGGTGGGAGGATTGCTTGAGCCTGGGAGTTCAAGACCAGCATGGGCAACATGATGAGACTTCGTCTCTGTAAAAAAATTTAAAAATTAGTCGGGTGTGGTGGCATACGCCTGTAGTCCCAGCTGTTCTGTAATCTGAGGTGGGAGAATCACTTGAGCACAGGAGGTTGAGGCTGTAGTGAGCTGTGATTATACCCCTACGCTCCAACCTGGGGGACAGAGAGAGACCCTGTCTCCAAAAACAAACAAAAACCATACAACTGAGCTCCAGTATGTCTGGCAGCAGACTTTTCGATGGAAACCTTACAGTCCAGGAGAGAGTGATATGACATATTTAAAGTGCTGAAGGAAGAAAAGTTGTATCCTAGAATTGTATATGCAGTGAAAATATCCTTCAAACATGTTGTAGCAGAAATTAAGGCTTTCTCAAACAAAAGCTGAAAGATTTCATCAACATGAGACCTGTCCTACAAGAAATGCTAAAGGGATTCAGTTCTTCAGTCTGAAAGAAAAGGACATTAATGAGCAATGAGAAGTCATCTGAAGGTACAGAACTCACTGGTAATAGTAAGTACCCAGGAAAACTCAGAATATCATAATACTGTAATTGTGGTGTGTAAACTACTCATATATTGAGTAGAGAGACTAAAAGATGAACTGATTAAAAATAATACATAGACAGTACAATAAGATATAAATAGAAACAACAAAAAGTTAAAAAGCGGGAGGACAAAGTTAAAGCATAGAGTTTTTATTTTTTTCTTTGCCTGTTTGTTTATGCAATTAGTGTTGTCATCAGTTTAAAATAATGGCGTATATTAAATTTGAAAAACAGAAAACTCCTAGGGAACATGGTACTATTCTTTGAATACCTAGCTGATAATGTATCATAGGAAGTAGTTCATTCCTTCCAAAGCTAAGAACAGACCTAGGATCATTCAGTCAGTGGATGTTACAATGACACTAATTGCAGCTCAGTAGAATGAAAATCTTTCAGATTATAAAAGTCTAATAATAAATGGGGCTTTTTGTTCTTACTCATTTAACAATTATTTTCGGGGAGCCTATTGTACATCAGACACTATTCTAGATACTGGGTGTATGTCAGTTTACAAAAGAAAGAAAAATCCCTGTGCTCATAGAACTTACATTCTAATGGGAGAGAGAATTACAAGCTAATAAATAGATCATAGGGTATACTAGAATTTAATAAGTGACATGGAGACAAAGCTGGGAAGGGAAAAAGAAATGGAGAGTTAGAGGTGGACAGCCTGGCTTAGTCAGAAGATGCCTCACTGAGAAATTGCAAGGATCCTGAAGCAGGAAGAAGTAAGAGAAGCCCCTGGTGGCTGGAGCATTGTATGCCGGGCGAATTTAGCAGGCTGTCAGGAAAACGACTTTATAGAGGAGCCATATAGGTCATTGTGTGGACTTTGGCTATTAGTTTGAGTGAGACATGGTTGTGGGGGAAGAATTATCCACACATGCAAAATTTTGAAATATGTAATGCTTTTGTTATTTACTAAACGTCTGCTTCAGAAAGAAATGGGGGGGGTCACCAGAAGGGACTAGAGATATACATTTAAAAAGAGGTTAAATCTACATTTGAAAATAAAGGGAGTCACAATTCAGAACAAATGGAAGTGTAACATTCAACCCTAAAAGAATCATGTTAAGAATTATTAATATTTTTGCTACTTGAGTTAACTGAATATATAATATGAATTTCTTTCACTTATTGGGGAGTTGATTTTGTCATCAAATGGAAAGGTTTCAGAGGGTTTGAGCAGAGAAGTGACATGATTCTTTTTATACTTAAGCAGATTACTCAGGCAAGGAAAGGCAAGGGAAAGGGAAAAGCTATTGCTCTAATCTTGGAAGAAGATAGTGGCGACTTGGGCAAAGTTAGTAGTGTGGAGGTGGTGAGAAGTGGTCAGATTCTGGAGATGTTTGAGAGGTAGAGCCATGAGAATTTGCACATAGGGTTTGAGAAAAAGAATACAAAGATAATTCAGTTATATATGGCCTAAACAACTGGGAGGATGAAAATTAACTGAAGAAGGAAAACTGTAGGAAGATTTATTTTTGGAGAATTGAGTGAGTGGAGATTAGGAGTTTATTTTTGAAAACGTTGACTATCTCAGGAGTTAATGAGCTCCCCATTTCTGATGTAGCAGAGACTAATAAGCCACATACAAGGCTTAAAAGGGAAAATGATTTATGTCAAATTAAACCAGTGATTCCTAAATTTACTGTGTTTCCAAATCACTTGAGGATCTTGATAAAATGCGGATTTTGACTAAAAAGGTATTGTTTGAGGCCTAAAATTTTACATTTCTTCTAGGCTCCTGGGTGACTGGGTGTGATAGCGTTACTGGGTGATACTGATATGCCACTTCAGAGGCTACACCCTTTGTAGGAGATGATTAAATCCATTTTTTTTACGAACCTTTTAAACTGAGATCATTTAAAAAAATTTTTTTAAATGAATACTAACAACTTTTAATGCTAAAAATCAAAACACCATGAAAGGTTCTGTGAGAAACATTAAATATCCTCCATTCTCAGTCTTTCCCACTCCGTATCCGAGGTTGCTCTCAGTGGATTCTTTTTATAACATCAAAATTTTTGTAAACTTTTAGTTGATAGTGGTTAACTTTTGGAATCTGTGGCTGAGAAAATGTAAAATAATAAAACACTTCTGTTAACTAACACGTTATATGAATTTGTACTTTACTACTCTCAAAAGCATCTGATCCACTAGAAAACAACAGAACATACGTAACATGTTATTTATTCAGTGACTATGCAATGTGTAGCCCAGGTATGTATTGTCATTGGCCCTCCCATAACCTTTACCTTCTTTACTTGCCTCCTCCTTGCCTGATAATCTACCTGGTTTGTAACTGCCAGCTCCTCGATAGGATGATCTCTGTTTCCTTTAAACTCAATCTGAGATTCTCCTATTCTGTGATGTGTTCAACCATATCCCTGATTTATACCATAGTCCTGAAGCACTGTCTGACCTGAAGTTGTTTTTTTATCTTACACAACCCCTTCTCCTGAGAAATTTTTCAAGTCCTTGTCTCAAGCCAAAAAAGAAGCAGGAAACAGTTAAGTAAGATGTTATAAAGGCAGATTTTTAAAAATTACCCGTGGTGAAAGTGTTTTTTCATAGGCTGATTAGAGATTATAAACAAACAAGGTGAAAATATTTAAATATTATAACTTAAGCATATTAATGATTTAATAGTCTGGTCCGAGTGAAGTGATGTTTACAACTAATTGATCATGACCAGTTACAGATTTCTTCGTTTCTTCTCCACTTCCACTGCTTCACTTGACTAGCCTTAAAAAAAAAAAAAAGTTAATAAACTTGATTACATTTCTCTTATATAAATGACATATATTTCTTAGAAGCTTTATGTTGTGCAGTATGCTGGTGTATCCTCTATACCTTATTAACTATAGTTTGTATGGTTGTTTCTATTAAATATATTTAATGTTTCTATTAAATATTTCTATGAAATAATGAAAACAAGTCTCAGAACCTTGAGCCATGTTATGCTATAATTGCTCTAGAAGAATTACACTGGATTTATATTATTTATACTTTCTACGTCTTTTCTGAAAATTTCATTTTCTCTGATTCTGAATACTGTCTGTAAGTAGTTTGACTTGATTTTCATGGTTTTTAATGATTTTCTAAAAATAGCTTTTATTATAAGAAATAGAATACTATTACTAATTACTAGTTACTAATACAATAGGGATCTTTGAGACATTGATGCCCTTCGTTTGTATGCATTCATTTATTACTTTAATTCATTTATTTATTAAATATACATTGATTAATATTTGCAGCTATTCAACAGACATTGAGTGTTTATGATGACTAGACACCGATAGTAGATACATATTTTTGACTGGAACGTATGGTACTGTATGACTTCACGGAACTCAAGACTTCAACTACATTATCTTACATTGTAATTTCAATAGGTTCCGTATCATAATAATTGCATGCTTTGTCTATAATACCTCCCAAAATGCCTAGGTTGATGAAATAAGTGAAATTAGAAGTTTTGAACTTGCACCCTAAACTTTTTTCATGGTCTCATTTTTATCATTAAGTATCCTTACAGCATTGTATCCTATCTTCCGAAAATTAGTATAAGAAGAAAGCATGATCCCAGAAGTTCCATCTAGATTCGCAGTTTTCACAGAAAGGAATAGAGAAAAGTGTTCGTAAATTTCATTCAAGTTTTTTTCTTTTTAGAAGTAGTAGAGAGAATAGAAATATTACCATTAATTATTCATGAGTATATTTAAGTAAATACATTACCTTTTCAGTAAATTTTAATGGTCTTTTTTTCAAATTCTGTTTATATCCTGTTTTTTAAAAATATTGATTCTTTAAAAATTTAGCTTATGATTTAGTCTTCTGATTATGAAATTAAAATAAGAAAAGGTAAAATCACATTTTAAAATTTTATAAATAAATTTTCAGAATGATACCTTTTTTGAAAGTACATCTATCTTTATTTTAATAAACCTATATAACTAAAACATTTAAATTTTTTTAAATAAAAAGATAATCTTGTTTATTTTTTAAAAATCAAGTAACGCCAAAGTGTATGCAGCTCTTCTCCTTGCCAGGGCTTATTCTGAATGGTAACCACCTCTTTACTCCGTGGCCACTGTTAGATCAACACTCACAGACCGTTTGTCTCTATGCGTGTGTGTCTGTCTGTCTTAAGTAATGGAATTGTACTCTACATAGTATTCTTTAACTTGCTTGTGTTTAAACTCAATAATCTATTGTGGTCATCTTTCAGTGTCACCATATTTAGACTTGCCATCATACTGGTCTGTTTTTGAGCTGTTTTAGACAGCAAAGATAAAAAACCTCATGTAAACACTGCTTTCTGTTTTAAACCAAGAAAATATGCCTCACTATTAAAGTTCAATTAAAATTAAAAACTCTTATATACTATATTGTGACTGAGACTTCCCTGACCTCAAACTTTATTATACATTATAAAATGTAAAAGGGAAAAATGTTTCCTTCTGTGAAATAGTTACCAGGGCAATTCTTGAAGAACAAGTATATCAGCAAAAATAGGAAATTGAAATTATTATAGCTTATGTGTTCTTTGTTACCATTTGAATCACAAGGGCAAAGTAATTCACAATTCAACACTGCTATGTGAATTAAAATATCACAGGTGTTTGGGCTTTAACAAACCACTCTGAAACATCGTTTATCAGCTCTCTGCTCAACACCTGTCATAGTGTTCAGTTTTTAACATGACAAAATCCCTGTCTTTTAACCCAAAATGCATCTTACTCTCTGATCTGACCTTATCCTATACTTTAAATCTTACCACTAGTTGCTTCTTTACATAAGACACTTGTTCAAGTTAAATATTTTGTCTAATCCAATAATGCTTATTATGTGCCTTTCTGTGGCTCTTGTTTATGTATGCATTTTCGACTTTCTTGAAATATAGCTATCTTCCAGTTTAGCCTTTCAGGGTTTTTGTTATGAAGAACTTTACATTAATGGGGGTTTGAATCCTTTAAAAATGTTTTCTCTTTGATGTTCAACACTATTTTTAATTTTTAAAAATCCTTAAGAATCACATGTATTTTTTAATGTCTCACTTAAATCTTGCTTTCTTTTTGAAATTTTTCATAATCTTTTTCTTGAAAGTAACGTCTCCTTTCTTTGGCCTTCTACAGCAATGGCTGACCTACCTTTATGCAATTATAATAAAATAATAGTAATAGTAACAGCAGTAGGCTGAGTGTGGTGGCTGATGCCTGTAATCCCAGCACTTTGGGAGGCCGAGGTGGGCGGATCGCCTGAGGTCAGGAGTTTGAGACCAGCCTGGCCAACATAGTGAAACCCTATTTCTACTAAAAATACAAAAACTTGCCAGATATGATGTCAGGCACCTGTAATTCCACCTACTTGGGAGGCTGAGGCAGGAGAACCACTTGAACCCGGGAGGTGGAGGTTGCAGTGAGCCGAGATCACACCACTGCACTCCAGCCTGGGCAATAGAGTGAGACACTGTCTCAAAAAAAAAAAAAAAAAAAAAAAAAAAAAAAAAAAAAAAAAAAAAAAAACAGTAGCAACAGTAGTAATAGCTAACATCTACTGAGTGCTTCCTTTGTGTCAAAGATTCTGTGTATTGCTTTCAATGCAATGCCTACATCTCGGTTGAGCCTTATAATAATCTCATGAGTCAGGTATTATGATTATCTGTATTTTAGAAATAAAATATTCGGTCTGTAGACATTCAGTAGTTTCTCCTAGGCCACACATAATAAGTGACAGAACCAGGACTGTCAGTTCCATTGCTCATGCACTTTACCACTACATCTCGCTGCCTGTATCTGAGTTTCCTGTAAGACATACCAGCTTTAGTTTAACCAGGTTATTTATAATCAGTCTATAGCATGAAGTTTGAAACTTATTTTTGAAGTTTCAAATTTATGTTCCATTAAATTTTGTTATTATTTAAATGTTGCAAAAAACTAGTAAGTACCATTTTTAGTGTATTCTCCTTGTGTTCCTTAGAATAGTCTCAGCTAGAATGAACTTATTATAACCTTAAAACTACAATTTATAATAAAATCATTTATAATCCCAGTGTTTGAGCTCTTTGATACTTGAAGGTACTTGAACATACAATCCATTTTAAGAGAATTTTAATCAGAATGTGCTTAATACTGCATTTATTCTACAAATATAGCTCGCTAGGTAATGATTTTGATTGCCATCAAGGTTTTTCCCACATCTCTTATGAGCTCTGAGATGAGTAATGACCAGATAAATATTTACATAGATGTATCTGATTAACAAAGTCAATGTATTTTGTGGCTGTTATTTATAGGAAATATTTAAAAGTCATTATAAAACAGAAGCGTTATGAATCGTTTCTCTTTTCCCCTAGTAAAATTTAGTTATTAATCTAGTTGTCTCAAAATTATGAAAGAAAAAGAGATGTTAAAACTTTTGTTAAACGTCTCTCTTCCTCCCATTGTATACTTACACATCAGTATTTTTATAAATTGTGATGAAAAAATATTGGTTTTATTTTAAAACAATGACTTCACATGCATTTCTTATATACCAAAATTATAGCAAAGTTGACTAAGTATGTTATGAAGGCTTCTAGTAACTTAGATTTTTTTCTTTCCACTAATCTTGTGCAATTGAGAAATACTGTATTCAAGCTACATATCTGAATATAGAGTTTATAGAATTAGATATATAAACTTGGAAGTCATCTAACATTATATGTCGACCACCTATTTCATTGCTCTGTCATATTTTATATAATATTAACAAAAGCTCTTCATACCTATTCAAATAGATTTTTAAAATAGTGATTGTAACATAATTTACCTCATACTTTTTTCAGGAGTATTTCATTTGTTATAACAGAACTTTAAAATATTTAAAGCAGAGCTTTTTACTTTGGAGGTCTTTTTAACTAAAGAGTTTTTTTAACTTTCATCTTTAACTTGAGAGAAGTAGATTCTTCTTGTAATTGGACATTTGTGAACTTCTGCATACCAGTTTTTGTTCATGCCATAAATATTTGTGGGTTTTCTGAAGTTCCTTCTGGGATTTTATCTTTGACTAATTTATTCCATAGCTCCTTTTTAGACATTGTCAATTGTGAGGTTTTTCAACCTTTTTAAAATTTTTTGCAGACTTTTGCTAATCCTTTTTAGTGCATTCAGTACTAATAGATTTGATTCTGATATGGGTTTTAGCTTTTCTTCATGGATAATTTCATTCTCTTAAACATATCTACAAGCATTATATGAAAACTGCGTAGTAATTTTGGCAAACTTTTGAAAGACATCTTTTATAAGTAAGACTTCTGACAGGTGTACCCTGTTCTGTAGCAGTTTAATCCATGAAATTTTACCTTTAAAGAATTACAAAAGGTAGTGAGCTGATTTGCGTTTCACCCTTAGAAGACATGCGTTAGTAAAATTCTTCCAGAAATATATACAGAATTTTTTTCCATCTGCTTATTGCTTTTTTTGTGAGCAACTTTTGCAACAGTGTTTGCTCTGTGTGCTCTGATAACACACCCTCAGCCACAGAAAGAGTGAGAAAATATGCTTTGTTTTTAACATAGTTGATGAAAAATTAATTACAAAAATTCACTTTCTTTCATTGTATTTTATTGTATTTTTGTGTTAAATATGCTATTGGCTAAATTTTAATAGCATAAATATTTAACACAAAAATACATACTTCTTCAGCAGAAATTTACTGTTTTATATAACTTAGCAGAAATATTTTTTTAAATTAATATAAAATGTGTTTTAATTTTTTAAATGCATAATCAATCTACTGAGGTTTTGTTTGTTTGTTTGTTTGTTTGTTTGTTTTTGAGATGGAGTCTCACTCCGTCGTTGCCCAGGCTGGAGTGCAGTGGGGCAATCTTGGCTTACTGCAGCCTCCACCTCCCGGGTTCAAGCGATTCTCCTACCTCAGCCTCCCAGGTAGCTGGAATTACAGGCACACACCACCACGCCTGGCTAATTTTTGTATTTTTAGTAGAGACAGGGTTTTACCATATTGGCCAGGCTGACCTCAGACTCCTGACTTCAGGTGATCCGCCCACCTTGGCCTCCTAAAGTGCTAGGATTACAGGCATGAGCTGCCGTGCCTGACCAATTTACTGAGATTTTTAAAATCATAGTTTACAGAACATTAAGTATCTTATTGAAGGTTTTAAATAAATTGACCTTGAGGAACTACCAGGTGATCCAAGATACAGATATTTGCAAGTGACATAATTGTTTCATACATTAAAATCTTGACAGTATCTTTAAAATAATTTTTGAACTCCAAATTCATTTCTCCTGTTATGTATATACTCTTGACAAATTTTCAAATGGTCATTCTGACTTTTCGTAGGGTTAATGTTCCCAATATGAAGGAACATTAGATTAATGTGACCAATGAAATTCATGGTTGAGATTAACTAAATTTTTTATCTTGTTTTACACGTATACTTTAACAGTTGAAAATTGAGGAATATAACCAATAGAAAATCATAGACAAGATTAATATTCTTTTATTGAGCTTAACATCATTAACAATTATGTTTGTATGCTTCAACAAATTGTGTTTATTTTACAATAGGAAAACCATTCTTTTTTATGGACATGTTTATAATAGCCTTTCTTTATTCCTGATGAATGTACCTCAAGGTATGGCATCTCTACTTTATGTATCTTTGTGGTTTCTCCTAAAACCTAGCTTATCATCTTTAACGCTGAGCTGTATTTTCTAGATGCAGTGTTAAGATAAATTCTACAAATTCTCACAAAACTGTTTCCTCCTTTCTCTTCCCAACTTTTAATTTCTTCCTAATTCTCTTTATATAAAAAGCATTCTCAAAATAACTATTATTTTGGTTTTTGGCAAAGGTATGTTTCATATCTGGTGACATTATGACTCTAATCCTATAATGGTTAGTGTTGGTTTCAAATAATTCCCTTTTAGTAAGTCAGAGAGAGAGAGATTGGGATAGTAGGTATGTAAATTAACTTGCCTAAAAGCTTTGTTTGAAAATATTATTGGCAGAGTTTTAGTCTGTTGTGTTATTCAGCTGATCTAGTTGAAGGCTTTGGATTTACATTTGGCCCTCACCAAAATAACTGCATCTTTTGTGGCTTCCTATAGCAGGATATAGGTTTCCATGAATATGTTTCTATTTACTGCCAAAAGCTACCTCAATAACAGTGTTGAAAATGACTAGAAGTTCTACCATCATAAATTTTGAAATGTTTTTTTAAATGTATTTACTTTTTTATTGTCATTTTTATACTTGTTTCTAGAAATTCATGTTAGAAAGAAGCTACAGAATAATAGAATGTTTGGGTTCCCATCATAACAGTTTTGTGTTATGAATTTGGAAAATCTATTTTATACTTCTTTCAAATACATTTTTGTTATATTAAGTACACTGGATATATAATATCTTACTATAACCATTCCTGATTGTGTACTTTCATTGAGGCACCAACATTGTCATGTGAAATTATTATTTAAACATCTCTGAGTTTAAAGACAAGTGAGGGAAACCATAGGGTACCTTTAAAATGCATCTTTGGAACTTCTGGAATATGATGGCTGTTCACCATAACCACCGACATATAAGACAACTGTTTAAAATATAATAAAACATTGTGCTTCTGTCTTGAGTGTCCAATGTAAAGGAAGAATTGCATTTTTCTCATTAATAACAAAGATCAAATATTGTAACAAAAGAGTAACCTGCAAGTTTATTCCTATAGCTATTCTTATAGTATAACCTGCACATCATCATAAAAGGCTTGAACAGAATGGATGGATGGATAGATTTTTCAAAAAAATCTTTGACCAACTTCAAGTGTGAGAAACCTATAAATGTGAGAAGCAGTGTTGGCTTTGTAGTTACAATTTCGGAACTATCCATTTTACCCTTTGTTGACTAGTGTCCATTTTCAGCCAGCCCCCTCATACCCCCTAAACCAAAATAGAAGCTAACTAAAAAGAAAATTAAGAAGCAAGCATCTATGAATTCATTTAATGTGTACAATTAATAATAAATTACCTCTACACATTGTATGAGAACACTTACTAAGCCCTGGTAAAATAAAATGCTGTTACCAAAAAAAATCCTAATAATTTTTACATGAAAGCAAGTAAATAATTATTTACCAAAACACCAATTTAATCAATAACTCTTAAATACATATGCTTACTTTATTTTATATTTTATTCTGTGTTCACTGAGGTTACTGTCCTAGAATAGACACTATAATTTTGCCTGTTTTATGTGCTAGAAATATTTATCGTGTTTGAAGAACTTCCATCCTGTGTGGTGTAGACAGATAGTTCCTCAATCTGAAACATTTTTCTTGCTCATCATTTCTAACATTGAACTTTGAGCAAAAACCAAATACCTGAAAAGCATTCTACATTGAGAAAGGTAATGAAAAATACAAACATGATCCTAAAAATAGGTAAAAAGTCAGTACATAGCTAATTTTTTTTCTTTTTACTTCTTTCATTTTTTAAATTGAGTTAGAACTTACATATAGGAAAGTATATTTATCATTTGTATACAGTTGAATGAAGTTTTACATATATATAGACATGTTACCACAATGCAGCACCCCAGAAACCTTCCTCATTCTTATTCTAGCCTGTATTTGGTAGTGCAAAGATAATCATTATTCTGACCTCTCTAACTATATATTAGGTTTGATATAACTAAATGTTATTATCAATGTTTAGATTGTGAAAACTTTTGTCTCAACATAGGTTGTCATCTGTAAATCTCCTTGACGTAATTTCTGAGTCAATGTCAGATCATATAATTCAAAATATAAATGATTTTAATCCGATTTTTTTTTTTTTTTTTTGAGACGGAGGTTTGCTCTTTTTGCCCAGAGTGGATTGCAATGGTGCGATCTTGGCTCACTGCAACCTCTGCCTCCCGGGTTCAAGCAATTCTCCTGCCTCAGACTCCCATGTAGCTGGGATTACAGGCGCATGTCACCATGCCCAGCTAATTTTGTGTTTTTAGTAGAGACGGGGTTTCACCATGTTGGCCAGGCTGGTCTTGAACTCTTTACCTCAGGAGATCTGCCTGCCTCGGCCTCCCAAAGGGCTGGTATTACAGGCGTGACCACCACACCCAGCCTGATTTTAATCAGAATTTAAAGCACGATTTTAAACTTTAATTTTAAACTTTAATATCAAATAATATATTATCCACTCTGGTATTTTCCATGTAAATCTCTGAATGCAACCATAAGGAAAAAAATTAAAAATCCGTATATGAAGATTAAACATTATAATTTATAACATCTTCATTCATTAGATAAATTCCTAGCGTATACCCTAATAACTGGCTGTAGCATGAGCTTTTGAGCCAATTTCTATCAATTTCACTTAATACCATAGTTATTTAGTGAAAAATGTTACATACATATGTGTGTGGCATTTGTACAACATGGAGTGCATAGCTTCTGTAAAGGAAATAATGTTTTGTATCCTGGGAGCCCATTATCCTTTAACTGAATTGACTGTCATCCAAGTATGGGTTTGATAAACTGACACAACAGTGAAAAGAATCCCTGTCCCATGTCAGCTTATCAAACACACTGTGGACAGCATGTCTTTGGCATTAAACACATTCCCAGTCATTAAAGTTCTGAATAGAAGTCACGTAGCTTGCGTTCAGTGAGACACAACCTCAGTATTTCCAGGTGATTTTAGGAACACCTGATAAAACTGAGGTATAGTACCACTAAACTTTAAGAATTTTCCAAAAACTAGGGGAAAAAAATAACATGCATAGAGTTACAGAATTGCAGTGTTATTGTTCAGTTCGATGATAGAACATATATTAATGAGATATACAGAAAACTAATATCTTGTCATTCTGGTAAACCATGTCAAATTGTGCTGTAAATATATTTATACTGTAGAATAAAACAAAATCAAATATGTTTTGTTTTTTTAATCTTTGTTTTCATATAATAAAAGATATCTACTTGGGAAAATTATCCATCAGTCTGAATCTCTCACTATTTTTTTTACAATTTCATTTATTTAATTTGAAAATGTCCATCATCAAAAATTTAGCAGCCTTTTTTGGAATAGTGCACTAAAATCATTTGTAAATTGTCCAAGTTAAAGTATAGGCATGTTTGAAAAAGATTTTTAAAAATTTATTCTAGTGCTGTAAATGTATTTGTGTGAAAAGCTAACTTCTAAGGTGATGTAGGTCAAAACGTTTACTTATAATAATACTTCATTTATACATCTCTATAATAAAAATAGTTACATCTATAACATTTATAGGTGAATTTGCCTGATTCTATATAATATACAATGTGAAAACATTTTTCAGGTTTGTTCTCCATAGTTTAACCCTCAAAGAAGACATTATATTATGCAGTTACAGTACCTTATCAGTGGAGCTCCACTTCTACGCTGCAAATGGAAATGTATTGCAACAGTGCTAAACAGAAGTTGCCCTCCTCTTTGGAGAAAATTGCAGTATCCAAGAGCTCTTTTTAACAAGGGACTACTTTTAAATGTGTCTGGTCACCTCAAAGGATATGTAGAGTGTTTCCTGCCAGTAGAATTAGAGGAAGGAAGCACCAGGCCAAAATGTTTGATGTGTGATGTACTGTAATTCTTTTCATGTGTTTGGTGGTGGCTTTTATATGATGATCAGTGTTCTGCTACTATTTGTGACCCTGGTGTGGTCCAGGTCATTAAAGTTCAACCTTCCTTAATGTATAGGGTCATTAACTATACCTAGCAGCATTATCGTAATTAAAGTACTGTTTTCTTTTAAACAAGTATGTCTCATTTTCATTAAAATATTTCTCATAATTGGAAAATTGACCTAGTGATTGTGATTCTCATGAAAGAGATTATTCAACATTAGAGACCTGCTAGTACTAGCATTACTGTAGACAGATGCTCTTTAAGTTTCCTCACTTTACCTTGTAGTCCTTGTTTTTAAATCAGCGTTTTCTTCACACAATTACCTATGGGTATATAAAGTTCAAGATGGAAACTAGCTTTACATGGTAGTTTTCCTGGATGTTCTTAGATGCAATAAGAATTGTCAAAAATTGCTGTCAGAATATAATATACCTTTAATGAAACAAAATGTGATGATTATACATGTTCTTTGTTATTCTGAGATCACATATTCAGATATTACTTTAAATTTTTAGGTTTTTAAATATTTACTCAGTTTAAAATATGTAAAAGTAGGTTCTTTATTCTTTCATATTTATCTTTCTATGCCCTCTAAATTTGCTTTTGGATTTTTTTTAAACTTTGATATCATTTGCTTATCCATTAGTCATTTAGCACTTGACAATGATAGTTCTAAAGGAATATATGCTCTGTTTTGGGATATGTGTGTGTGTCTGTGTCTGAGTGTGTGTGTTTGAGGGTTATTTATTTGAAGAGCCAGTTTCATCTTTTCCCCTCATGTTGAGTATCCAGATATTTTTGGTATTTGCCTTCTGTCTCTTTCAGTTTTGGTACTGGATATATCATTAATACATTAATTTGATAAGGCTAAATGCCTAAAGGATCTTCATGTGATAAAATAAGCTGTCTTTCCTCCATGCATAATGAATCAATTTTATGATCTCACTAACTGATTTCTTCAGAATAACTTGTGAATACCTACCATTTGCTAGCTATTTGCTAGATGTAAAGCTGCACTGGTGACAAAATTATTCATAATCTTTACCCTTCATGGAACATAGTTTAATTGACTTTATCATTATACTTAAAGTATATTAATTGATTTCTTGTAAACATCATTTTCTCTAGGCAAAGAAATATATGGCACATTTAGATTATAAAGGAAGAACTCACAGAATTTTTTTATGTCCTCAGTGTAGCAGTGTGGTGCCTGCATTTATTTTATTCCATAAGAAAGTATTTCACCAGTTTTGTAAATTAAGCTATTGTCATCATTGCTTAACTCACTTTTCAAGTCACGGCTTATGATATTAATATTTAAGATCTAAATGATCATGATTACATTGTAAGCATAATGAAGAACAATGTGAAAAAATTTTTTAAATAACTGAGGCCTTTCACCATTAATTTGTAAACAATTACTCATTTGGCCTTTAAAAAATAGGTACAGTAATTTTCTGCACATTCTTTTGCATTATCTCACAACATATTAAAATATAGATATATAACATGTATAATTCAGAAACATTAATATTGAGTAAGAATGATGTATGATTATAATTTTTGTATTTTATATTGTATTTTAATGTAAATGTGATTTACTAATGTCCATGAAATACGAATTGCAGACAGAGTATTTGGAGAAGGAATTATTGATACATAATAAAAATTAGGACAGTGCCATGGCTCATGCCTATAATTCCAGCATTTCGGGAGGTCAAGGTGGGAGTATTGCTTGAGGCCAGGTGCTTAATACCAGCCTGGTCAGCAAAACAAGACCCTGTCTCTACAAAAAATTAAAACATTAGCCAGGCACACACCTGTAGTCCCAGTTACTTGGGAGGCTGAGGCAGGAGGATCACTTGAACCCAGGAGTTCAAGATTGCAATGAGCTGTAATCTTGTGATTACGCAAGTGATCACGCCACTGCACT